TTTGGTTTTCTAAAATGGGAGACTCATGTTGCCCAGTCTGGCCTTGAACTCCAGATCTACTTATCACCATCTCCTACTCCCATCAGACCCAGTTTATACTTTCTTTTATGACTAAATATTTCAGTTGATGGGCATTGGGGTTATTTCTACCACTTGACTGTAGAAAATACTAACAGTACTGTTAATATGCATACATGTATTTGACTTTGCTTTTAATTCTTTTGGCCATACACCTAGCAGTGGTGACTGCTTATTAATTTTTTCCAGTCCATCTTTTAATTTTAAAAAATTCCTGACATTACAGAACTAAACTGAAATGTATTAATATTCCACTCTTACATTTCCATGACAAACAAAAATTCATGAGCCAAAAAAATTTTTAATGGGAAAAATGGGGAGAAGCTTATAAAACTAAATATGGATATCTCAGCCTAACTGCTGAACAGAGAAAGGAATTAAAACACTTTGAATTAAAAAAATCATGAGTGGATGATAAAGTGTGTAGAAACTGAAAATGTACAAGCTATTTAAAACCTGGAATTGCTGACTGTTGAGAAACTACACAGATGGATCATGGGTGGTGGTGAAGAGCAGGAAGGGATCATGGATGAACCTGCACTGCTCTAGCTGCCCCCATGCCACCTGTCTCCGAGGAAAGCCTGACATTGATAAGATACTGGGCCAGGCTAATGCTGGCAGCAGACCCAGCCATGGTGACCTGCCTATCAGTACATCCTTCCAATGGGTTTGCAGTTTTGATCTTTGCCCCAGACATCTGACAGATCTCATTGATTTTTGGCGCCCTGACGCCAGATTATGCATTATGCAGCCAATCAAATCATTTGGAATGGTGAGTTCACGAGAAGTAGTTTGAGCAGACACATCCAAACCTGCACTGAATCCGGTGTTGTCATGGGTCATGGGGAAATGAGACTGTTGCATTGCCAACTGGTGCAGCTTGGTCAAATTTGGCTGTGGAATGGAATACTGTCCTTGAATGGTATAGGCCTGACCACCTGCAAAGATGACTGGAGAACTCGAGGGCTTGGGCTGGTTAGGGATGGTCACACCCTTCAAAGGGGACTGGGAGACAGTTTCCAGCATGACCACGCAGATTTAACACCCTCAATGATGGATTGAGGGATGCCAGCAATAGTGATTGCCCGCTCAGTTGAGTTGGGGAGCATATCCCCTGCCACCTGGACCTGAGCCCCTGTACTCTCTCTTATTTCCTTGATCTTGCAATCACCTTTCCCAATGAGAGAGCCACACTGACTAGCAGGAACCACCAACCTTAAGGTGACAGGGGTATACTGGCAGCTGTGCTATTGGTCATAGAGCTGCTTATGTCCTCTTCCAGTTTGTCAATGATCATAGCAAAGGCTTTGAGGATGGCATTAGTCTGTCCAGCCAAAGTGATAATTGTCTCAGGACAATTCCCTTCTGAGATGTTGATCCATGCACCACTCTCCTCGTGCATCTCCTTAACAGAGTCTCCTTTCTTTCCGATGGATGATACTGCCAACTTCCTTTCCACGCATAAGTAGCCTGATGGTGAGAATGACATTTAATCCACCTTCAATTACACTGGTGCCCATGTCTAGTAGTAAGAGGGAGCTGGACTTGGAGTGGTCAAGCCTTTGGTCACTGGTGGGAGTGAAAGCCCAAACTGGAGGCGCTAGTCGACTGAGGGGAAAGGGGGAGCAGGCAGGAAGGAGAAGGGCAGGAGGCCTGGGGCAGAACAATAGGGGCGGGCAGGAAGACGAGGGCAGAGGAGTGGGGGTGGAGGAGAAGGAAGGGGGAAAGATACCCCGGGGCAGGTGGAGGGTGGCAGGGGGCGGGCAGGCGGGAGAGGGAGCAGGCTGCAGCTGTTCTGGCTGCTGCCTCTGCTGGTCTGGGCGACTGCTTATTAATTTTTTTAAGAATAACTTTTGATGGCATTTAAGGGAGTCATCAGTCTCATAATAGAGGAAGGGCATTTAAGGTACCCTCTCCACTATTGCTTAGATTCTTAGTTGGGGTCATCCTTGTGGATTTCTGGAAATTTCCCTAGAGCCATATTTCTCTTTAAACCTGTAGTGGCTCCCTCTATTGATGTGTCTCTTTCCTTGCTCTCCTCTCCCCACTCAATTTTTCTGATCCCTCATGTTCTCCTCCCTCCTCCTCTTTCTCCTACCTCTGTCCCCCCCTCCCCCCATGCTCCCAATTTACTGAGGAGGTCTTGTTCCTTTCCCATTCTCCGGTGTATCCATGTATGTCTCTTAGGGTCCTTCTTGTTCCCCACCTTCGCTGGGTTGTGGATTTTAGGCTGGCTGTCCTTTGCTCTATGTTTAGTATGGACCTTCCCCTATAATGAGATTTATGATTACCTTAAATGGCATCATACAGCCATCATTCAATACCTGATGGAAGCAGAAGCAGAAATTCACAGCTAAGTACTGAACTCAGTTGTAAAAAGGGAGGAGTGATGAGCAAAGGGGTCAAGACTAGGCTGGTGAAACCCACAGAAACAGCTGACCTGAACTCGTAGAAGCTCACAGACCCCCGTCTGACAGCTGGGGGCCCTGCATAAGACCAAACTAGGCTTCCTGAATGTGGGTGTCAGTTGGGGCCTCGGCAGTCTATGGGGCCACTGACAGTGGAACCAATATTTATCCCTATAGCAAGAATGGACTTTGGGAGCCCAGTCCACATGCAGGGATACTCTCTCAAGCCAGATACAGGGAGGAGAGCCTAGGCCCTCCATCAAAAGATTTTGATGATCCCCCATGGGAGTCCTCACCCTCTCTGAGAAGTGGATGGGGGTGAGAATGGGGAAGACAGGACTCATCCCGAGTATACACACGGACTTTGGACTCCCATCCAACAATGCGAGGTGCACTCTCACCCTGAACTCTTGGGGGGAGGTCTAGGCCCTGCCCTGGATGAAATGACAGACTATGGACACTCCCATGGAGGGCCTCACCCTCCCTGGGGAAATGAAGGGATAATGGGGGGGTTGGGGGGAGGGCACGGGAGGAGGGGAGGGAAAGGGAGAGTGACCTGGAACTGACTTGTGAAGCAACCTCGTTTCTTATCTAAATTTAAACTGAAAAATAAATTTAAAAAATATGAATTTTAATTTAAATAAAAACTATTTAAAAAGAATTGCTTTTGTGAAGGTGTACCATTTTAAGTTCCTACTAGCATTTCTTAGTATTTGTATTTTGCAATACATTTTATAGCTATACATATATGTCTATCTCTCCAGGTTGTTGGGTTTCTCACTTCTAGACAAAGCTTCCAAACATTTGGTCTATTTATTCCAGGGGTCTCACAGAGACAAGGGGGGGAAAGTTGGGAAAAGATTAGTCTCTGATAATTTGCACTCTTTAGATAAATGTAATAAGTGTCTTAGAGTTTAATGACACCATCTGTGTGTCTACAATTCAACTCAATTTTGTACCTTCTAATTGAAGCTAGCACATTGCAGAACTCAATCTCATAGGCATCCTACTTCACTTGCTAAGTGCTTGTTGCCATTTCTACTTCTCCGTCCAGCTATGTATGTATGTATGTATGTATGTATGTATGTATGTATCAGGAGTTCCCGGGACATTCATGCTGGGGAATTTGTTATGTAGCTCACAGAACCCAAATAAGTTTACTTACCATTGCTCAATTATCCTAAGGGATCCAAGGAAGAGACCAACTGGAAATGTATGTGGTAAGATGTGTTGGAAGACACCTGGCTTGCATTCCTGCCCTAGGTCAAGTGCTCAGTACCATATCCACCTACTTTCTCTATGTCAAGAGTTGGAGGATATTCCATTATATTTATGATAAATCAAGCATTAATGAATGTTGTCATCTGAATGCCATGCCCCATTCATGTTGAAACTTGTGATCAGAAGTGTAACAGCAGTAAGAATTTAAAGATGTGATTAGATTTGGGGGAGCAAGATGTCAAGGGCTACTGGGGTAAATAAGTGTGTTTCACAAATGAAAAGGCCATGAATGAGGGATGGGGTTACGAGAAGTGTACCATGGTTTAAATATGTCCCTTTAAATATTCATGATGAAATTCAAAGTGAAATACTGAGGTAGGGTATTCACAAATTTGACTCCATGCTTATGGACATGATTAAGGCTTGCTGAATGGATTTCTTTATGTGAACCGTATTCAACTCTCTCTCTCACCTTTTTACTACATGAATAAACACCAAGAAGGTGTTTATCAGACGACGAATGTCAATGTCTTAAAACTTGGAGGTGCACCCTAGTTGCACAAATGGACTAAGACAATGATCACTTGGCTGGGAGGAGATTGCAGTAATGGCTCTATGTACTTTGAAGCATGTCTGGGTTCCACATACAATACCACAAGTACGGAAAATAGAGTCACCTATTCAGTCTGAAGAACAGGGGACAGAGGATCCAACCTACTAACCATATCATGGCAATTTGGGCATTTAGGCAACTTCTGGAAGTTAAAACCATCCCTGCCACTCACTGATTAGCATATATTGGCTAAATGCTCTAGACTCCAGTGATCTTGGTGGACGTTACTGTGTGAGGAATAGACCAACTACTGCAATAAAAGATGCTCCCAGTATCCCTATCATTGGGGAAAGTACAAGGGCTTCAGAAACTGTACATGAAGTCTGAATATGTATTTCCTGTTATATCACTGTATTTGGCCATACTTAGAGGATCCATCCAGTATTGCTTTGTCACTTTGAAGAAGGAAATGAAACCTTGGGTATGAAACTCTTTACATCTGGTTCCACAATCAATACTTGGTTTAGTGATAGGCAAACAACTTCAATAAAATTCATGGGTACAGAGATGGAAGAAGACACTCTCCTCTTGAAAACTATCAAGAGAGTTTTATAACTATGAGTTTAATTATATAAACCCATGTTTTATGGAACCATTCAAAACACTTAAAATGCTACCAAAATAGGGGATGGAATGAACTGATAGGAAAGCAAAACTCATACAGAACAGACAGTACAATCTTTTAAAAATTCTAAGCTTTATTTCCATTGAATTCAGCATGAGGGGACAAAAACACGTATTGCCATCACTGGTGATTAATTAGATTAATTGATCTTTACATCACCTGTATTCCGTTTCTGTTTTACTTAAATCATTAGTGTAAAATAGTATAAACAATTAACAAATTTCCCTTTAAAACTTCTATTCCCCCAACTGAGAATTTAAGCCAGAATTGATACTTTAAAAAATATCCATTGTATTTAAATTTATCAGAAGAATAGGCAAACAAACCACATTGTAAAACTTGTATATCTTAGAAACAATTTCCATTCTCTTCTTCCTCACACCATAGAAAGCCATGCTTGAGCTCAATGTCTAAATTGCTTGTCACTTCCATTATACAGGGGCTCTTCTGCTTTCAGAAGGACTACTTAGCAGTAGTGGACAGTTCAATAAATCTGGGGGTGCACTTTCAGGGAACTAACGATGCAGTGAGATGGTGGAACACCATCGATTGTTCAGATTCTTTGAGATAAAGATTTTGGGAGAACAGAAATAAGCCAGGCTCCTGCAGATAGAAGAGAAAGCAAAATGAGGAGGAATAGTGAGGTAGGGGAGCAGTATGCTAAGGTGATTTACTTCCTGTCATCAATAATAGAAAGCATTTCATTATAACATGATCAATCTTATCTTTGGTTTCAGCAGTTGACACGGCTAGCGTAGGAGACTGTTTTGGATGAAATCACAATGAAACCATTAATTGCTGAGGTGATCAACTTCCTGGAGATTCTTTCCTCTATTCCTTCCAATGTGACAAGTTACATTTATTGTGGCTCCTAGAAAAGTGACTCAGAAATATTAGAGATAAAACATTGATAAGGTGGCCAATGGAGAATTGTTTCCAGGTAGCCTGAAACCCAGCAGACAATGTAGCTGTTGCCTAATAAACACAGAAATCTACATTGTATGCCAGGTTCAAGCCCCAGACCTGGATGTTCGGCCTGCAAGTCATCCATGCAATTGACTATTTTAATCAGGATATCAAAATTGTTATGCTTTTATTTACAGAGAGAAAAGAAAACAGAAGTCTCAATTGCTGTAATTTACCTGTAGGTGAAATTTCTCCAAATAATTCTATTGGTTGTCAGTCATCAAGCTATTTTTAAAATGCCCTTTAAGGGTGAAGAGATGTATGGAAGCACAGACGGGGAAGGGAATGGATCTCAAGTTAGGTATATGATACATAAACAGCTATATAGAAAAAGCTATTTTCATGGAGGAAAGAGAGGGATAAAGAGGAAAACCAATGACTCAAACATCCTTGCAGTGTTAGGCACAGAGACCTCATCATTCAAGAAACTCTTCATGACTTCCCAAACACAATGAATGACGAAAGACTAGACTCTGAGAACTGTGGCATGTGTTTTACTTCAGCTAAAGCTACCATTTCAATAACCTTGCTATGGGTATCATAGCATAACTGAAGCCAGATGATGCCACCAGAGACCCAGTAGCCAGATGTAGCTGCTGATTACCAAAGACAGGATCTACACTGGCTACTGAGCCACTGAGGGCACCCTAATCCTTCTGCGAGCAGGACAATTTGTGGCCTTCCTGAGAGAGTCTGTGGAAGAAAAGAAGTCAATTATAGAAATTAATAAAACAATACTAAGAGTTTTCAGTTGTGTATTTTTCTCAAGTTGTAAATATATACAGCTCTTAAACTACCTCTAGATTCACTGACAGAAAGTTATTAATAAAAGTAACCTTTACAAAAGTATTCATAGGAGCACCTCATCAGTTTGTCAGTTCTAACCTGTCCCCTTTAAGACAATACAAGTATAAATTACTAACTAGGTAAGTTCTTTGTTGATTGAATCACTCATTTATCTTTCTGGAAATATACTTACTGGGACACTTTTCTATATAAAGATACAACTTTGAACAAAGACCCCTAGAGATGACAATGAGGGTAGGGAAAAACATGAAAAGAATCCAGCAGATATGCGGTCATACTGTAGAATAAGTAGTTGAAAGTAATAGTACTGTTTTTTCTTCCATGTAATACTTTTTTAATTTTATTATTTTAATTTTAAATAGCTTGCTTCACATGTCAATCCCAGTTCCCTCTCCCTCCCCTCCTCCCGCACCCCACCCCACCATCCCCCCCCAGCCTCCCACCCTATCGCCACTTCCTTCCACATAGGGGATACCTAGAGTCTGTCATTTCACTCAGGGAAGGATCCAGGCACTTTCCTAAGAGTCCAGGCTGAGAGAGCATCCCTCTTTGTGTTATGGACACATGAAGTCCGTTTGTATGCCAGGGATAACCACTGATCTACTGCCCAGAGCCCCATAGGTTGCCCAGGCCTCCTCACTGACTCTCACACTCAGGGCGTCTGGATCAGTCCCATGCTGGCCTCCCAGCTGTCGGTATGGGGTCCAAGAGCTCTCCCCTGTTCATATCAGCTGTCTGTGCTGGTTTTGCCAGACTATTCTTTGCCAATTTGCTCTCTGTCACTGGGTTCCATGGGTTCAGTTCAGTGTTTAGCTGTGGGTGTTTGCCTCTGCTTCCATCATTCACTGGATGAAGGCTCCAGGATGGTTATAGACATCAAGTTCATTATCAGGAATGAGCATTCAAGGTGGTCTTTCCACTACTGCTTAGCTTGCCAATTGGTGTCATCCCTTTAGATCACTAGAGGTCTCACTGGCGCCAGATCTGTCTTCTAACCTATGATTCCCTCTTCCCCCTATCCTACCCCCCCCCACTCAACCTTCCTGTTCCCCCATGACCTACTCTCTCTTCCTCTTCTCCCCCTCTCTTCTTCCCAGCTCCCACTCCCCCTCACCCCTCGCTGTGTTCCGAATCTGCTCAGAAGATCTTGCCTCATTCCTCTTCTCTGGGGTACCATGCACATCTCTCTTTAGGTTCTTTCCTGTTTCCCAGACTCTCTGTCAGTGCAAGTGCAGACTGGCACTATCCTGATCCATGTCTAAAAGTACTATTTTTAAGATAGCTGAGGAGTATGTGGCTGAGGGCCTGACAGTCATGCGGCTTAGGAAAAGAGGGACATACATATATCTAGGGGAGGGAAAGGACCCTGGGAGAGTGAAAGAGGCAAATGTCAAAGGTTTCAAGGCACTCTATCTCTGCATTTGCCCGCCACAGGCAATCATGGTTTTCTACATTTAGGATCATTTTGAAATGTAAAGAACTACGTGACTTTGCTCCAAGCACATACACCTTAGAGTCCTTCCTGCCTTTTTTATGATTTTAAAATTCTGCAGCATTCACTTAGATTTCGGAGGTTATCATCAGGAAGAGAGCTCTCAAAGGCTTACAAATTTCAAATAGTCCAAGTTCAATGGGCATGCAGCTGGACCATAGAATGATAATCAAATATGTGCACAAGCAAGAACAGTGACTCATTACAATATTGTCAGTGGTAAGAAAACACAAACAGCTTTCTGGAAGCCACGGTGTGCTTGGCTCTGTTGGGGAGGACAGGGGTGGGATTGACAAGGGAAGTAGGCTTGTTTCATTGCTTGCTTTCCCCCTTTTAATAGTTACTAACTAACCCTATCTATTAGTTTTATCTTAGCGTTCTCTACAGAGGAGCACACATAATGAGATGACGAATAAAGAGCATTTTCTCAGTTTTTGCCATCTTTTAGCTTCACTGTAAAATAAAGCATTTACAGAGCATACAACCACATCTCATAACTCTCTATAACTATTCCTAATCACCCTTTATAGAACCTTCCAGAGTGAGGTACAGATTTATATTGTTTAGTTCCAATGCCAAGGTTCAACAGATGCTTATTTATAAAGCCCAGTCCATTTTAGCTACAATCTGTAGACTCAGATTTCATGTGTGGAAGAAAGAACTAGGGAGGGGGGGAACACATGCCAATCTCGCTGGGAGGGGGAAAAGAATATATTTCATGGGTGGTCTGGGGGACAAGAACGCGAGGGAGAATCAGGTGAGGGAAGAGAAGTAGGGTTGAGGAAGGGACTACAGGGAAATACAGATATAATTCAAGGATTTGGGTTGGTATGGAAACCTTGTACAGGAGAAACTGTGAAACATATATGAAGGTGATTTGAAAGAATTCTTAAAATAATAGAGGAAACAGAGTTCCAACTGGCCATCTCTTGTCACCAAACCAAGTTTCCAGAACTGGAACTGGTTTAAATCCAACTGAGGTTTAGCCAAAGGAGCCCCACGGGAATGCCAAACAACACAAGCTGTTACAAAGAATAATTTGCTCTCCACAAACAGATGGCAAGGCCCCATTGTTGAAGACAACAACACAGGTCAAGCCGGTGCCTACATAAAACCAACGCTCCCATATTCTAGGGTCTGACATTAGAAAGGCACTCTGTAGATTAACCAAGGAAAAATGTAAATACCAACCCAACCACAGAAACCTTTAATCTACAATCTGTCCTGCCTGCAAAATACATACTAGGGAAATGGTGCCACAAAGCTTGTGGGAGCAGCACCAATGTCTGAATTTATTTAAGGCCCACTCCATGAGATGGAACCCATACTTAACACTGCTTGAGTGACCCAAAAATCAGAGACATAGTCCAGAGACATAGCATAAAAAAGCCAAATATTACTAGTCTTCAAAAAAACAGGAGTATTCTGCTACACTCAGGCCTTTCTCAGGCATCATCAGAGAAGCTTCCTCCTGCAGCAGACAGAAACAAATAAGAGCGCGACAGCCAGACATTACACAGGGAGAAAGACCTCAAAACATATAACTCAAAATAGGCTGTCTCCATCCAATTCCTCCCTGTTAGAGCTCAGGGAACCCTATGAAGAGTAGAAAGAGTGTAAGAACAAGAGCAGATGGAGGACACAAGGAGAACAAGGCCTTCTAAATCAACTGAGCAAAGCTCATATGAACTCAGAGACTGAAACAGCATGCACAGGACCTACACAGGTCTGCACCAGGTCCTCTATATATATTCCAGCTTTCAGCTTAGTGTTTTTTAAAGAATCTCCTGAGTGTGTAAATAAGCAGGTCTGTGATTCTTTTGCCTTCACTTGGGGCTCATTCCTGCTGTTGCTTTGTCTTGTCCAACCTTGTGATGGTTTTTGTTTAATTTTTTCACGTATTTATTGTTATTTTTTAGAAGCCTGAGTGGATCTGGAAGGGAAGGGAGGTGGGGAGGAACTCGGAGATAGAGGGAGGGGTGGCTGTAATCAGGATATATTGTATGAGAAAAGAATCTATTTTCAATAAAAGGGAAAAATTGGAGGGGAGGCCATGGAGGTGTATTTAATCAAAATGAGTCATTAAAATGAGAATTAATCCTATTGTGACTAAAATAACAAAGATGGCAAAACTCCCTTTAAAAAACAGAGCTGTAATGCCTTAAAACTGGGTATTTAACACTTACATTACAAATAAATAAGTAAATACAAAATGAATCTTAGTCCATCTTTAGATTAGAAAAGTGAGTTTTAATTCGCAAAGGCTATCCTATGTATCCTCCAAATTCACTGTATTTAAAGAACTAATATTAATATATTCTTCCATAGGACTTCTCCATCACTTCTTTTTAATTTATATAGCCAATATATGGTGAGCAACCATAAATAAACATTAAAGGTAACTCCATTAGTACCCAATCACTACTCAACTCAACAGTGAACACCTTCGTAAGGAATTTTAAGTACAGCACATTTTCAAAGTTTATGAATAAAATACAAAGACAAGAAACATTATTAAACTACAAAGTCAAGTTACATAATCTTATTACCTAGTAATTAAGCCCCCGTATGAGAAAGAATTGTAACCACGAGATCCACTGCCTGAATCCAATCCACACCACAAAGGAACAAAACACAAACAATTGACTCCCTTTTGGCTGATGACCATTAACATGTGGTGGGAAAGGAGTTTAAAATTGAAGCAAAAACTACTATCTACTGCCAGAGAGTCTGCTTTGAACTGGGATTGACCCTATTACTTGCAATGCTACCCTGGCATTTGAAGAGCACAGCCTCCACAGTTAAAACAGGAGCATCCTACATGATGAACCAGGAAGAAACTTACTGACACTGAAAGTGAAGTTGCCAGATAGAGAACTACACTTGCATCAAAGTTTCGCTAGAAATGAAAGGAATGCTGTGACTTGGAGGGTCATTCAGCTAACGTGAGAATAGAACCACTCCACCTCTTTTGAAGGGTTTTTTCCTCAGATAATTCTATTTTGCCTTCAGAAAATATCCCTAACTTTAGAAATGACAGCTCTGGGGAGAAATTCTGATCCTAAAGTTTGATTGGGAAGTAAATGTAGAAGAAACAGCTACTTGAACAGCACTGGCAGAAGGAGATTTTGAAAGAGTTCAAAGGACCTTTTAAAACTTAAAAAGAAAATAATCTTTCTTTAAAAAGAGTTTCTACACTTTTTAGTTGTGATTTTTCTAATCCCGGTAGTTTTGTACTACATGTCTCCAGAAGCCACCCCAGTGGCATGCAACAGTTAGTGTACTGGCTCGCAGCTAAACACTTTTTAGTTGTGATTTTTGTAATCCCGGTAGTTTTGTACTACATGTCTCCAGAAGCGACCCCAGTGGCATGCAACAGTTAGTGTTCTTGCTCGCAGCTTTCCATTAACTTAAGGATGCAGTCAACTTCTGTCACAAACACATTTATGGGTTTGAAAGAGCACAAGCCAGTCTATGACTTTAACAATGTCACCATTAATTTAAAGTGAATAAAAAATGTCTCCCACTAGATGGGCTGTATGTCAAATGTTCTTTTAAAACTAGACATACACATGGAGGGGGAGACAAGGGGAGAGGGAGAGGAACAAACTGTGATTACCTTGACTATGAGAGACTGGGGTCATGGCATCACAGGTGTTTACATAGATACACACTCATTAAAGTACCCACAGGAATGAAGTATGTGCTGTTCTTTGTTTACCACACTTCAATAAAGCTGTTTAAAAAAATGTGTCTCTCAAATGGTAAAGAACAAAAAAATGTCTAATTAACACTAAGTATAGACTAGGAAAGTAATGCATTTATATACACAGTGTGCCACATGGTTAAATTATTCTGGAGGAGAAACCAGCCTTTTAAATACAGGTGTCTAATTAAAGTACATTTCTGCGAACTTAGATTCCTTCTGCATTATGTTAGAGCACTTGAATTAGGCTATCACCATAACCAGGCACGTGGTGGCAGCCTGTCTAACTCTTGCATACCTGAGATCCTGTGACTACATTGACCAAAAACATTTATACCAGCTGATGGTCACTTGATCCTCACATCTCTATTTAGTAAATTGTTCTACAAGTCAACTTGAAGTTTGAGGTGAATATTTGAGGACATTCTTATTCAAGACACTTTTAAAAAGACATTCTCTGCCAAATAATTCTAGCCTGAACAGGCTTGGGAAGGTTTTGGGTTGGCACAAGATCCTAAACATGCTTCTAAGGGTGAAACCTCTTCCAGCTAATAAAGACAGACTCAGACTAGTTTTCGAAAATAATATTTAGCAATTAGATACATGCTTTTAATCCCTCTGAGTGAAAAAAATCAATTTTTAAACAATTACTAGATGAGAACATAAGTGGGTTTTGATCACTAAATGTACTAAGAGAAAAAGGATAGCTTTAACTTAAGTGACTAGGGTTTTTTGTGTGGACAAATTCCAGAAATAAATTGTCCTCAATCAATTGTATCCCTTCCTCCCTCCTCTCTCTCATTCCACTCTTTAAAAAAAACACGGCATTTTCTAGAAACAGAGAAGGATTCCTGTCCTTAAAATGGGGGGGGATAAAATTATTTGAATCACATTAATGATAAATAAGGATATCAAATAATTGTTTTCTGAACCAGTAAGCAGAAATAATAAGTAAATAAGACAATCAGTTTCTCTAAAAATGAATTCTCAAACTTTGTTAATCACAACCCATTACTAGGTATTTCCACATTTGGTCTCACATCTGAGCCATGTGCAGTTTTCCAAAGACATCTAACATCATAGGCTATAACTACCTATCTCTGTTTTAGGCATTGCCCAACTTTTACACCATCCAATATTTTCATGGTACGGAACTTTTAGTTCTTCTGGAACCCCCCCCCCCAGACAAGTTTTTCTGAGCTCAAATAAGCTAGAGAAGAAGTAAGTAGTGGGCCCTGTGTGCTGGTTGCCCAGCTTCTCCTGCCAGGACAAGGCCCAGGTTTAGGCCTCCTCACAGATGAGAAGAAGGATGCTTTGGGGAATGCTCCCTGATGGCTCTGTCTGTGCTGGTCAGAAAAAGTCACACTGCTCTGACATTAGTTGTTTAGAAATGTGACTTCCTGTGAAAATACGGGTACTTTTAGCTAGTAATTAAATCTCATTCTTTTGTAATTCCCTGGGTGCCAGCAGCATTTTGTAAATATTTGTCACCTAAATCAATCAGAGATCAATCAATTATAAAATGTCTGGGCAGCTATAATATCACAATTCAAAGAAAGCTCACAGAAAACACTGAGACCCTATGGGCAAACATCTCCATTCAGGATAGCACCTATGTATATCTTTATATACTTGACAGCACTGAAGGGTCCTGAGGTTAGGCAGGTGATACCCTCAGAAAGACAGCTTTCACTACAGCCTGTCACACAACCGTGGAAGACTACCAGAAACCAAACCACACTGTGTACCAGACAGAATCCTGTGTTTTGTTTTGTTTTTTAAAAACTATGTCAATGCAAATGGCTCCTGCCACAAAGAAAAAGAGGGGAAAAATGAGCTAACTAATGCAGTGTGAAGACTTGGATAAAAGGTTAAATGTATGCCAACATATACATAGAACCCATTTGATAAGGCGGCCAGCTACAACATGTTCTGCTCAACAAAGAGGAAAAAGAGAAAAAAATGTGGATTCTAGTATAACAAGGACAAAATGGAAAACGGAAGTGAGACTTTAAACAGTGATCAGAAGAGTGTTGCATAAAAGACAGTAGGGACACTGATTTGTTTTATAAACTTGAGAGAATGTGAGAAAGATAGTAGTCCTCGCTTACAATCAAGTATTTGCTGCTCAACGGGTTGTTACTGACATAGTAAAAATGAATCCAGTTCTTCAGCTGGTCAGAAGGGCATGTATTTTGTCAGAAGCAGCTCAGTACCCTGTCACATCTTGATAACAGCATTCTTTTTCTGGCCTCAATTTAGTTGTAGATGCTGGATTGTGCCCATGCTGACGGGGGAAGGGTTTTCACAGCCAGTTCTGTAGAGCAAAAAACAAACACTTAAAGAAACACTGAGCCAGTTAAAAAAGAGTCAAAATTAAGATTAAAAACTAAGAAAACTGGGGCTGGGAACATAGTTAAGTCTGTAAAGCACTTGTCATAAAAGAACGAGGATTTGAATTTGGTCCACAGCAAAGTTTGAAAAACAAACAACAACAACAACAAAGTGTGTGGTGTTCAACTGTAATGCTAGCAATAGAGAGAGATGAAGACAGGTGTATTCCTTGTTTCCACAAGAGCACCTGTCTTAAAGCAAGGTGGACAGCACCCAAGGACAACATTGGTGCTTTACCTCCGGCCTACGCATCAATTGAGAGGAAAACATTAGGAGAGAAAGGCGGGGGGGGTTCTGCTTTCAATTGGAAATCATATATTTTCATACTGCATCATATACAATATAAAAAGGAAGGTGGATACTAGAAAGGGTCACCACTAGTGACAAAGTATGAAGAGGGTTGATAGCCGCTGTAGCAAAAGCAGAAACAGGTGAGAGAAGACAGGTACTGACACTCCACGGTGCATGGCTGATGCAGAAGATGAGAAAACCTGAAAGGTTGGCAAGAGACTACAGTGACTTTGATGAGTTTAATTAAAAAGTTAGAAAAGGATGGAGGAGTTCAGAGTCCACAAGAAAGGGAAGATTAATCTTAAGCCCGGGGGAAGGCTAGAGATGAAGGAAGGAGGCCTTTCTTCCTGTGCAGAGGAACAGACTTCATTACTAGGTTGAAAGGGGAAATAACAGGAAGAAAATTGCTGTTTATATTGATGGTAACTAACACAGGGGAAATCTGCTTCCTCTTTCTGTTAGGGGCAAAAAGGGGTCAGGAGAGGTGTGCCTTGAAAAGATTGGCTGGAAGAGAGGTAGGGCTGGACATGCTGGTCAATGTGCCCTAGGAATGCAACTATCAGTTTAAAAAGGAGAGGCCTGGCTCTAGTGGCACTAGTACTATGTGAGGCCCTGGCTTCCATAGCCAGCTCCCTCTCCCAGAAAAGACTCTTTTCTCCTGAACTCCTGGCTCCAAGCCTCTAACACCACCCCACGTTGGTTCTCCTAACTATGCTATCAAGACTGGTTCAGATTCTCATGGGAAATTACTAAGCGTTTCCTGACACGGTCCCTCTCGTACGCCTTACTCTGATGGCCAAACTCTCTGCAGTTTGGGGAACCAAGTGGAAAAGAAGAATTCCAAACATGGTCATTCTTTTCCTTTCCCATCTTAACAGTGGTAGTGCTAATACGGAAATCCCACACAGACTGGAGAGGGCTATCATGCCCATCACCACATTTCTTCCAGAGCTGTCCCTGTGAAAACCGGCAGGGAGCAGAATCTTTAGTGATAAAAGAGCAAAATGGAACAAAGCAAAAGACTTTGCCTTGATTTTCATTTCCACACAGAATTTATATTCTTTGTTCACCCTTACTACTCAACCAGAATACAAGCCACAAAAAAAAACCAAACAAACAAAAATACCACCAAACAAAAGAAACAGCCTGCAGGTTTTTTTTTTCACTCTGTTACAAATGAGAAATGCACACAGCACCATCTCCCTACAAAGTTGATGGTGTCCTTTCAGTTTCATAAACTTACTTGCCCACAGAATTCTCATACTCCCCCAAGCATGTCTGTTAGTTACCATCTCCCAGAGAACTGAAGACTATACTCAGACCCTTCATAGTTTATGACACATGCTGATGACAAGTTTGGGTGGCAAATTATGTAATGAGTGTTCGGGAGTCATTTTCCTCAAAACCACAAATGGGAAAAAGAGACACAATGAAGGACATTTAGCATGACAAATATCTGGAGAATAAACATGCTACCAACATAGCGCAGGTGCAAAAAGATACCAGGTATGGATCAGTTTTCCAGGGAAAGAAACCTTCAACAGCGGCTGCATTTCCCTGTGGTTTTGTGAATCATCTGAAACCAACTATTTATTATTTAGTGTCCTTGTGGGGAGAATTGGAAATGAGCTCAGAACCTTGACCAAATAGTCAATGATGAATTTGTGAAAATAACAAAGTGTATGGAGCAAGTAGCAAGAGAGAATCGTGACCTTGCTCACCAAAGGGACACAAGGGTTCCGTGATTCAGGAAACAGCTTGGCATTTCTGAGCCTATTTATTCTTCAATCAAAAGGAAATAATACTGAGACACATGACCACAGAAAGGCTTGCACACAATGAGGTGGGTAGGTACCTTACAAGCTGAGGCCAGTTCCTGAGGCTTCAGCCTTGTTGCATAGGAGCCCTACACAATGGTGTAATCATGTTTCTAAAGGCAGCATGCAGCTGCTCTATCAATTGAGTGGGGGGGGGCACTTTACAAAAAAATACATTCATTTACAGGACAAGGGGTGCTGAAAGATATGGGTGGCTACAGACTACATTCACTGTTGAACTTTGGATGCTCACCTATCCTAGAAAGTCCTATATTTCTATACCAAAACCATTAAAACTCTGGTTGATCCTCCCTAAGAGAGGGTAAATCTAGATTTTACCAAACAGGGACATTTTCAAACCCTCCATCTACTATAATGATGATATCTTGTTTTCTTCAGATTCTTCTAAAATCAAGGAATAACCAACATGCATTAACCACACATAATTAAGTTAAATGATGAGGAAGTCTGGAAAACAGAATCACCCATGAAACATGTGCGTAAATAAGTGAAATTATCAACTAGATATGGTTTCCTGTGCCCTTCTCCACCCCTTCCCTCTTACTATCCACCCCTCTGTTCTCCACTTGATGCCACTCATCTTTCTGACATTTTTTGCATTTTCTATAAATTTGGGTAAACAGCATTACATTCAGTGTCTTATAAGGGTCCCTTCACTTTATTTAAGGCTGTAACTTTTTCCATTACTGAGCAACATCCATTGAGATACACCATGATTTGTTTGTCTATTAAGTTGCAGTTGTACATTTGGGGTTCTCTAGTTCTTGACCATAACTAACAAAACTGGTATGAACACTCACATACACACGGCTTTCATGTCCCTTTAAACAAGAAAGCTTGATCACATGGTAAGTGTATTTTGATTTTCTAAGAAACTGCCAAATTGTCTTCTAAAATATTTTTACAATTTCACAGTTCTTCCTAAACGTCTGAGCCATAAACCTCTGCATTCTTAACTTCCACTTGATTGTCAGCATCTTAGCTATTCAATTAGTGTGTAGTTTTCATGTACATTTCCTTAATGACTAATGATGATGAATATCTTTCATGAGCTTCTCTATACAATATGGGTATCTTCTTCAGTGACAAGTCTTTTGAGATGTTTTGCCCATGTTTTAATCTTGCTGGTTTCTTATTATTGAAAATGTTATCAGTTTCTATGAGTGGCTGAAATAAACTTGATCAGTTTTTACAAAATTAACGGTACAAAAGTTAACAAAAATTTCCATAAAATATTTTCTAAAGCCGGTTATGTTTATGATGAGCTTGAAACTCTTTCAAAGCTTGAAAAGAATTTAATTGTTTATGACTATACCATCAAATCCCAGAACTTAGTGAAAGAAGTAATCCCATATACTACATGGTACCCCAAAAAATCCCCCTGGTTACTCTTATGAAAAATTACCCAATTTTCAATGATAAGTCACACTTCAAATCCTCTAATTACACACGAGTCCTACTGATTCTATTTTATAAAACAATAAATTCTCATATTCAAACTCAGGCACATATGCAACTGTAAATACAGTTAAAAACCCGTGTCACATTGTTTATGCACACAGTGGCAGATAAAAATGTGACATGTAAATAAGAACATTAATGCCCAGTTGAGGTATGTTAACTGACAGCTAAATTGAAGGGCTTGCTCTGAGGGAAAATAGGCCTGGTTGTGTTGTGTGGCACCAGCAGGTTACAGTTGATGTGGGTTTCCTTTTAGATGCCTGGAAAATGACTCTGCTGACCACATCCACATTCTGAAATACTTTTTGAGAACTTGTAACCAAACTGCAGGAACTGACTCATTTTGCAGTGCCCAGCCACCACCACACAATCGTTTCGAGGAGATTGAAGAAGGCAGAAACACCAAGGTTTCAGAACACAGGCAGAAAGTTGTCTAGATTTACATGGGAGGAGGGAGAAATCCCAGGGCACAGAGAACAAGGAATGGGTCCAGGAGCTTAGGTCTTCAAAGATGGACTGAGAACAACACAATCCTGACAGACAAAACATGCACTGTTGTCTTCAAGGCAAGAAATCATCTATTTCTGGAACGTAATGAATCTAGTGGAGAGATGTACACAGGTTGATTTCACACAAAATGGTACCTTAAAAGGTCATTCCTGAATTCCTTATCAACTCATCTACTCAGCAAAGTGATGCTCAATCATAAACACTCCCTTGCTTCACAGGATATAAGCAGGAATGGGCAGCATGTCTGGAATATCAGGCTGACACCTGGGCTTGGAAACAGAGACTTTCCACCACCACCTCCCTGTCAATTTCCCCATCTTCCTCTTGGCTGCGTGTGCATGGGGGGCCCAAGCCTCTCTTTGGTTTCATATGAAGTTCTTGAGTGAGGGTCAGGGAAGGAAAAAGAGCAGCATATATAGCCCTTCTCCCCCACCACAGTGTTCCAAAAGTATTCATTTCTCCTTCACACAAGTGAAACAGATAAGTCAGTTTCAGCCAGAGGCAATGATAATATCCGGCTCAGTTGAACCAAACTATAAACAACAAACCAGTAAGTCTTTTATGCAGGTGGGCCCCTTACTAAAAAGAACTCAGGGTTAACAGGAATGTATTCCTAACTAGTCAGGCCAGATGATAAGAAGTTTGGATAAAGGCTCAGGTATCATGAAATAAGATCTACTTAGGTAAGATCTATGAGTCCTATTTGTTGTCAGGTCTAGTCTAGTTGTCTATATAATGGTATGTATATCCCTTATGTCCATTTGCACACTTGCCATGAAAACTTCCAGATGACACTAACTGCACATCCTTTACACACAAATCAAGACTTTCAGTATCAGATTACAAAAAGAACAATAGGGGCATTTATGGCAATTATTGCTCTACCTTTCAGGAATGGTAAGTACTTGTTTTTCAGTACAACTTTAAGACAAAGGGTATATAAATTCCCACCTTTCCCAGCTGCTTTAATTTTTCTAACTTCCCTTTTTGTCTCCAGTTGTAAATCAGTAGGATTTAGCAATTGTGTAGCCTGTGTGAAACAAAATTTTCTTACATATTAATGAGGGACCTTACTAATCGACTGAATGCAAAATAGAATTAGAAAAAGAAAAAACACCTAAGCAAAGACATGCCTGTTGAGAAGAGAGATACAGGTAAAAATAAATCAATCAAAACATGACATTAATAGTCAACGTTCTCACTCTCGGAATACATAGAATGGGAGGAGGAACTAAGCACATTGAGCTCATTCATTATTCTTTACTAGGAGCTTTGCAATAAACATAATTAGAATCACAAAAGTAGCATTGTCAAAGAAAGCCCTCTAAAAATTGTACCGACTTGGTTTATAAAATACAAAGGGAAAGTCACCTCTCTAGGTTCCCTATGGGCATCATATACATATTAATGCCCTTCTTATAGTTAGTTAGTGCCTCATACCTTCAGCATCTTTCTATGGAGTCCATCTTACTATGTGTCCATTGCAGTTCTTTCCCTGATCTCCCTATGGGTTTCTCTGAATAAATACCACTGCATCAGAGAGGCATTCCAGTCAGCTCTAGGTAGGCAGTTTCTTTCCAACCCTGTAGTATTCCCTATTTGTCTGCATTGGTTGTTTGTTCTGCCATAACATTTACCAATACGTACCACACATATATTTTTTTTCACTTACCATATAAACAAGGACATTGTTGACTGCTGTACTCTTAGACTTAGAACACTAAAACGAACCTTTCTCTGTGTGGTATCTTTGCCTACATACTTATCAAGTCTACTGGCACTGGAGACAACATTTATTAACACCTTACCAAACAATCTAAACAATGGTTAGGAGTACAGGGGTGAAGGGATGATCCATTTGCCTGGCATTAAGAGAAACGCAAAGGAGAAGAAAGGATAGCTGCTTGACAAATAGGAGTTATTAGCATTAGCATGTGGATGTCAAACAGAATGTGGGAAAATAAGAAACTATGCAATGACCAATTTGTTTGCTTAACTCTGATCTATATTACCGACTCCTCCCATTGGACCATATGCTTACCAGCAATGCAGACGTCACAATTCACATACTATCTTCAATGTCTTTGTGACTAAAAGATACCAGCCGCTCTGATTCGTTGAGAAGAATTTGAATGAGTATTTTTAAAAGATCTGTGAACAGTGAAATCAAGGTTGAATTTACTACTTAATTACAAGTAAAGGTAAACTATATATTCCAGGAGTATTTGTGATTACAGAGTGATTACAAGTAACATTTTTCTCTGGACTGTTAATAGTGTTATTTCTTACTCTCAACACCTTCCACAGTGGTTTACTTGGAGATTAAAAAACAACCAACCAACCAACCAAACAAACAAACAAATAAAAAACCTCTCCAATTTAACTAAGGTGGGAATCAGAGTTTGCCTACTAAAATTATTTTCCAAGATATCTCTGGGGAGGCTTTTTTAAACATTACTCTTCTTTATAGAAATGGTTTGAAAGCTTAGGTATTCTGAAACCATGTTTATAATTTAGCCATGATGAAAGAAGACCTGGTATCTGGGAGAGGTCAATTGCCCCCAAATGACAAGTGTCAAACAAGAGATAGCTACAGAGGGAAGAGGTACAAAGAAGTTTACAGCATATAGCTACTCCTCTCTCCAACCCCATTCCATGTACTCTCATCATGCCTTTTCTCCCTGTTCGCAGGAAGAGGATGAATGAGTAAAAATAAAGATGAATGAATGAACAGAAAAAAAGATGGAAAGAAAGCATGTCTCATTAACATACCCTCCTAGGAGCAGACCCAATTCAAGACCAGTGAGAATTTGCGATTTCCAAGTGCTTTAAACTCATGGACTTAGGTGGGCTGTCCTTACCTAATTTCTAAATCAAATTCTTAGCATTTACAGCAAGAGGAAACTATCAACCTTCAAACTTCATTCCCATGATCTGAAATTTAACACTTGGTACAAACATGAAGTTTTTTGTTTGTTTTTAATGGGCATCAGTGTCTGCTTCCAAGCTCTGTTGCATAGAGAAAGCCTTCAGAACTAGACGGTGATAAAGGTAAAATCTACTAATGAATACAGAATCTCATTCTCTTTGCCTTTCTACCAATAGTCCATCCTGAGGATTCAAGTGCTCACATACCCCCTCCACCCCGTCCCCACCTTCAAAAGAAAACTTGAGAGGAAAAATTAGGGGAAGTTAGATGAGTAAATTTATTAGTGATTTAGATCAACTGAAAACAAGGAATTCCCCTCCTGGACTTCAGTGGCCTAATTAAAACTCATAAAACACCAGTGACTAAGACTGCTCCTACTGATCTGTCAAATAAGAAGTAGCAAAAGTCAACTGTGTACTACAATAGAGAGGCCCAGGTCTGAAGGATGTGACACTTTCTAGAACAGACTCAAAAGATCACTGCTGAAACTTTCAGCTCCAGTCAACTTTTACTCTGCCTTTGGACCCAAAGTACTTCCCATCTGTGCTGGCAACAGCCTATTTGGATTCAGATTCTGTTCCTAAGTAGACAAGTGCCCCAAAGAAAGTTCCTTTGTTTCTCTGTGCTTCTCACTTATGAAGTAGACACAACAGTGGCACTGACAGCTTGATATAAGGATCAGGGTACCTTCGGTGAATCACCTACAGAAGGAGCTACTCCAAACATACTAAGTGTATAACAAATGGCAGCCAACAAATTGTTGCTATTTTAGTTCATCGGCTATGCCCAAACTCACATATATGCTGGCTGAAACCCACAGGCCTGGGGATAAACAAACTGGGAAAAATAAAGTGAGTGGAACACTATCATTCCAGGTCCTCAAGCATGTGTGTTTCTATGTATGATCATATGTGAACACCAGAACTCTCTTTAGGCTCTGGAGTTTAGAGCAACCGATGGAATCAGCTACTGAGGGGCTAAATAAGCTTAATAAAGCACAAGCACATTTACTCCACATGCTGAGGCCTCTACTAGAGTAATAGATCGGACTTGGACATTATTTTGTATGCAGGTAAGCAGAACTGTGCATTGCTGGGCCTACATAAATTCAAGCCATTTTTCTTAGTTAAGAACTAAATTAAGGTCCTTAAGTGTGTACAGGGAGGTGTCAATTGATTATCTTTAAAAAATATTTTATCCATTTTTAAAAAAGAGAATAAAGGCAAAAAAGGACATTAGGTACCCACCAGAACAGCCAGGTGCTTCAAGAACTAATTTTTTTTTTCCTGGCCAAGAAGGACATGCCGTTTAAAATGAATTCTTAGCTTGGCCTTCATGACAGAAGGTTCTACCCTATAGCTTGGGGGGGGGCGTGGTTCAAGACAGGGTTTCTTGGTAAAAGCTCTGGCTGTCCTCAAACTCATCAGCCTGTCTCTGCCTCCTTATGAACATGCACCACTGACAATTCTCTGAAAGGTTATATTTTTTTCCTTTGTAGTTACCTTTTTTCTTTTTTTTTTTTGTTTGTTTTCTGAGATAGGGTTTCTCTGTGTAACAGTGCTGACTATATTGGAGCTCACTCTGTAGAATAGGATGTCGTGAACTCACAAATATCCTCCTGCCTAACCCTCCTCCTCAAATGCTGGAATTAAATGTGTGTGCCGCCACCACCAAGCTTACATTTCTATTTATATACAAAGTTATCATGACATTTATATTAATGTTTTAAGGGGCTTTCAACCAAAATAGATGCTACATACTATAACTAAGAAAAGAAAATGTTTCAGTTATATTGACTTATAAAAGCATCAAATCCAACCTCTATAAGTATCAAATCTGTTACATTACAAAAATTAAAGAAAATAAGCTATAATAATGTATTTGCATTTAACAACATAATTTACCACTAATAGCATGTGTGGTATGTCCTGTGTCTTTGATTAGCTTAAACACTTTAGAATGTATAATTATAATAGTGAGAGTAGTGAGCATGAAGTCGTAAGAACTTGAACCAGAAGATGTTAAAATTATTACATACATATAGCAATTGTTTTATATTGATTATTTTTCAAAGAGACAAGGGCAGTTTAGTAGGTGTTAAGATATTTTAATTGAAACACATGTTCTAATTTTGCTACCCATATCTATGTTTAAAATAGTTAATGAAATGATTTTACTTTGCATGTTCTCCTTAATTCCTACTCTTCCTGGAAAAGAAAATAAATGGTCAATTGTTTCATTTCTATTTTAAAATGGAATGATAATATGTTCTTCAAATTTTGACTATGCAATCTAAACAAGGTTAAGAGAAGTTTTCAGAACTATTAGGCTGGTCTACAGAGCAAGTTTTGAGATAGGTTTTGAAACCCTATCTCAAAAACATAAACTGGAAAAAAAAAGAGAGTCGGAAAAATATTTCTTATCAACAGCATTTCAAAATGAACATAAGGGAAGTTGAAGACAGTGATCAAAATATGTATCTAGAAATCTTAACATCTGTTCAAAGCTAACAAACCAGCATTGGTTAACTAAACTGTCAAGCAGGAACATAAAATGTACAATATGACACAGGAAGTAAGTGCTAAAAAGAAAAAGTGGGAATAGAGGGGCATGAAAATGAAACAGGGAGGGCTAAATTATTCTTGATCACCAGAAACACATAGAGACAAGAGAACCATCGTAGACATGTTTTTGAGAAGTACTGTTAAATGTATCCTTTTCTGGATTGAGTCATGCAGTTCAATTTCTTGGGCTGCCTGATTTCCCAGAGGCATTTTTTTTTGTGCCAAGCATTACTCCTATGCCAAAGAGTCTCCCACTCTGAGGTAACCATTTCTCCCTTCAGTCTAAACCCCCTTCCAGCTAGAAAAAAATAGCTATGAAAAGACTGTTTCCAACTGTATAAGTAAATTCCCTTGGGGTTAAGAAAATTGTATTAATTTGACTTAGTTTTTCCCAATTAAAAAAGTCAGGTTGATTCACTGATAGAGAGGTTAGACCCCTGGCACTCCCACAGTACCACCACAGACCATAGCCATTATATCATCACCTTCTGATGACACTAGGCATGGGGTAAGCAGGAATGAAGGAACCAGGTGACACACCCCTGCAACTCAGCCAAGTTGCAGCGCTTGCAAAACATGGCTCTATTGTTTTCTTCTATGTCAATCTGGGCAATTTGCTTCACCTCTCTGTACAGTTTTCTCTGTATAAAATGGAGTCACAATCCACTCAGTTAATACATGTAAAACATTTGATACTAAAATATGTCTCCTGGGTAACTATCAGGAACGAGTAGGCACTGTACTAAATGTCAGGGATATATTTAGAAAAGTAACTAACACATAGCAGAGCCCAATAACTGTTAATTCAAGAGTCAGAACCCTTATCTGGCCAGAAACAATTAGATTATTATAAATTTTATAAAGAGGGTGATTACTTAACATATACACACATATGTATATAAATACAGAGGAGGTCTAGTACAATATTCCAGAATCAAGTATGTGAATATTTTTGTGATAAAAACATACAGACTTAGTGAGCTAAATAAAGACTACAAGTGGCCTCTTGTAAGCTCAGGTCAGGACTTGTCAGTTTGTGACAAACTTTTCTCCATTTGTTAGAACATTTGGATTGAAATGGTAGATTTATATTTATTAAATAAGTGACAAACCTTACGGAAATCTTTTCCTAATTAATTCTTGCCAAAACCATGGAGGAAGAGAAAATGGGAATAGAAAATGCCTTTAGGCATGGAAAATACACAAGTGCATAATTAATCTATGGTACATATTAATCTAAACCGTCTCTGGCTCCGATATAGTGTTGCCAATATTCTCAGCCTGCCAATTCAGTCAAAAATGTATTTTTGAATAAAAGACAAATTGCTTAGGTTTCTGACTATTGAGTAATATGATTCTGTCTGTTCCATAGGAAAAAGACAAAGGCTAGTCAGCAAATGAAGTGAACAATTGGTTAAAAAGCATGACTCTTTCGAGAGCAGAGGCCTCCACAGTCAGCCTAGGGGTGAAGACTACATGCTATGCCACAGTGGCAAGCCACCTTGCTGCTACCAAAAGAAATCTCCCCACGTTGCATCTGAAGTAAATATTTGCAGTTCTTGTAGAGCCTCCAATAACTGGTTCAAAATGTCCTCACTACTGGTCAGCACTGGACAAAGATGTGCACAAATCTCATGGAAGTTGGCTCCTTATGGCTCCACACGTCGGTACTTAACTCAAAAGTATTGATTTCTTCAAGATCTAAGCTACTACCACTTCCATGGTTATCCCATACACAAAGGCCAAGTCAAGAAGACATGAGACAAATACAGTTTCCTACACATGATGCTTCATGGTTTTTGTTCCCCTTCTTGTTATCCTCCTACTCAGTAAGACTGTAGCAGAAGGTTTGAATGACATTTATGAACTGAGATCTTCAAGGTACATGTCAACAATTATCTGAGTTCTAACAACAGCTAGTCACGTCATTAGTGATTAAAGTCCCCTTCAAATAAAACGTAGACACACCCACACAAGAAAAAAAACAAAACAAACAAACAAAAAAAAACGTGTGTGGGGGGGGATGTTACATCAATAAAATAATCAAAGGTGTACAGTATACTTCTCGAATACTACTGGGGAGAAACAATTGAGGTATATCTCTCAGACGGCTTCCTTTCACTTTGTTGTTTTTGCAAAAACAGAAATGTTACTAATATGTTTACTAAATGACAAAAATACCAATACTTTGAGTAACTCCAGGAGAAAATTCTGAGTGATACTTTTAGATGTATACTTAAACTGAGAATAAAAAAATGGCAAAGTGAATCCAAAAATAAAGCTTTTGGATAATTCTTCTGCAACATAGTTTGTAACATTTACTATTCCAATTTACATTGTATTCCATTTTTATCACAAGACAATGGCTAAATGCCTGAAGAACATCTAAAGGTTTTTTATAGTCTTTTTTCTATGCAGCATGTATTTATTAAATCACCATGCTTTGTCCAAGTATTTACATCAATTACGAGTTAAAATAAATATCACTGAATACACAATAGCAATAGAATATAAATTCTCTAGAAATACTTTCCTGCTTTGTCACCATTTTTTGGTCTTTCTCTCAAACCCATAAGTTCATGTGCATCAGGAAGTCATACCTTAATTAAGTAAAATGACTTGTGGTATTCACACAAATCTGCAATGCCAATGTACTGATTTACAGCTGGATCTGCACTTCACAGCCATGCTTGTCTCTCAATTTAAACAAAAGTCTTTTGGGTGCTATTTATTACCCTAAGAAAAATGATCTTCAAACCTTCAAAGGATGTACACACATTTACTACACTCACTTTCCTCTTCCCTATCTGGACCCCACTCTACGAACAGAGAAACGGTAGCTTTGCTATTCTGTTATAGCTTTCTTTTCTTAAGTTGGGGATTTTATGATTTCAAAAGCAGAATGGGAGCCACAAGTAAGGAAGGTTCATCCAACTTTCAATTTACTCAGAGATACTCAAAGCAAAATAAACATTACACCCCACAGTTCCGTTTATAGGCCATAGTTTCATGTTTACATTCATAAATGAAGATTGCCCAAAATACCTACATAATTACTGACACATAGAATTAGAGGGAAATATTTTAAGTATATATCACATGATTACTTCAACTGACCAATAAGGAACTTGCAAAAAATCAAGCAGCCACACGCTATGTAGTCTTTGCTTATTGTGCTCAATTTTTCTCCACACAATCTTTATTCAGCAAAGTCAAGTAGTAAAACATTCACACTTGTTATAAAACTGTGTTATCTCACTGTCCTTAGGAATACAGGTATTCAAAGCTTTTTGTCTTTTTCTGGAATCCTTAAGAATAGCTGCAGCTCAGGTTCAAAATCAGGACACTAAATGTCAGGTTTCAGAGAAAGGAAGCCTGATTGATACAAAGGCACTCCACCACTAAGAGTGGCTCATGATCATCTTGAAAATGTTATGGACTACATGGAAATAGGCACCCTTTGCTTTATTAACATCATTGAACAGAACAATCTCAAAATCATGACAGAATGCAAAACAAAATCTGTGACCATCATAATCCAATGTTTCGGGTGCATTGCTTCAACTTTCATTTTGTGAAGGTCTAGATACAGGACACAACGGAGAGGCAAAGGAGCCGACTAATTCTCAAAATCGAATTTCAACTTGCTAGTCAGACTGAATGCAAATCTCTATCTATGGAAAGATAATGTATTAACTCAATCAAACAGCCCATTTTGATTTTGTGCTTTCCCCAACTGAAAAGGAAGCCATGTCCAAAAGTAATACCTAGTTCTATTACATATGTTTGGCTAAACTAGTAACACTCGGCTCATTTTATTAATTACCTGGTTTCTCCTCAGCCTTTATGCTATACTGTGGGGCTGTGTGCTTTTTATGTTTTCTGTTCTACACACTTGTTAGGGGTCTGTGAACAATTTTGCAATTCTCCCACACACCATATGATATCTATTAGGGACAATGCCACTTTTCACTTACCGACTCTGGAAAATGCAGTGTTTCCTGGTGACAGAACACTGCAGCTTCCGTTCGCTGAAACTCCTTCTCAGCTTGGTAAATGTGATTATAAAACAGCTTTGTTCTGATCACACGAGGCACTTTTCCTATGAAAGTTTTCTAACGACTTATCTGCGTTTCATTCCTGTGACAAAATGAACCAGACAAAGGGGAAACAGGGGACAGGGAATAAGTCCACACAAGTTCTTGGCACACATTTTCAGCTACATTTTTCTCAGTTTAATCAGTAAGCTAGATTAAAGTGACAGTTACCAGTTCAGGAAGCCAGGGTTTGGTCAAATCAGCCACACGTAATCTGAGTGTCTTCCACTGGTGCGCAGACCCCAGGGCAGCAATTACTTGGTCATCTATCACAAGAGGACTCACTGAACAGACCCCACCCCCACCCTGCCCCTGTTGAGCAGCAGTCAGCAGCAGAGTAGAGAGTGGACAGTCCCCTGACCCGGGACCTCTTATAGGGATCCGCCAATTAGCAGCTGGCCAATCGAAACTAACACCTAGTACCTAAGTCACATGACAGGGCAGTCCCTGTGATTGCAGGATTTCTGAATTACTGGGGTTATACAAAGGACACTCATTCGGGGGGGGGGGCATAAGCCGAAACAGAAAACTCTCTGCCTGCGACAACTCAAGCTTTAAAACAAGTAATACCCTAGCCTCACATGGAATAGTGGAGACCCAGACAGGATGAAAATCAGAAGAATGTCTGGCATGTACTAAAAAATAATTCTATTTTTTAAAGAAAGAGACAAAAAATAATAGTTCTAAAGCAGAGGCTGAGTTTAAAAAAATCTTCATCTGTAAATATACTGTTCATCCTGCTTCTGCCCGTCTCCCTGACAATTTTACATTCAAAACTTCCTTCTGCACAGCTCCACAGAGCCTTGTAGAGCCTCTGTAGGGAAATGGGAGAGGTGTATAACCCTCTTTGCCTTCCCTCAAAGAGTCCAAGAGAAGATTCCTAAGTGATACACGTTTTTTTAAAACACTTGTAAAACTTAAGCAATTTAAGCATCATCAGGACAAATCTTCATGTTAACTACAAATAATAGCCCCCTTCCGAGTTCGTTTTGTACTGTCCTTATCAAGCTCACTTCGTTAAGGAAACAAGCCCATTTCATGAAGTAGCTGCCAATTCATTTTTAACACCCCCAATTTCTCTTAAATACCACCTATGCCTCCCAAAGAACTTCAACCATGAACACCCCTCCCATTTCTTCATTCTCTGAAAAATGGTACTTACAAGTAAGTGTTCCTTGTTTGGGTCTGTCCATTTCTTCTCCCCGTTCCCTGACTTCTGAAGTCAAAACATAGACTCAGCTTCATCTTTCCAAAGCAGATGTCTATTTTGCTCAAGCAAAGCTGCAATAGCTATTTCTCTGAGGCAAGCTCAGAGCGCTGTGCTGCTTGCCATTCCCAATTTATGGAAGGAAGCCTATGTCAAACAAACCAGGTGATGACTCACACTGCCTCCCCCGGCCACATTTTCCCTAGAATGGGAGGGTAGTGTGAGCGCAGCCATTTGGATATGAGTCAGTTTTATTAGACTGGTGGTTGTAGCTGATCTGACAAGCTCAGGTTTTTTTTTTTGTAACTTGTGCATTTAAGAATCAGAACGCATGCTCTAATAGATTTCAAAGCATTCAATCATGTAAACAAGAAAACTCCAAGATTATTTTTAAGCCTCAGTTAAGTTCTAGCCCCACTCCCTAATGTGTAATATTTCAGAACCATGTGTTGGAAATTTTACAACTAAGGTTACTGACCAATCAAGTTCACACAACATTGAGGAAATAAATGTGCAGTCTGCCTCTTTAGCAGCAGAGGAACCCAGTTTAAATCTCGTGTTGGGGCCCATGTGGCAGGTTCTTCAGGAAGTGGTCAGGGACATGAGAGACATTTAAGAGGCTTTCACTTTTGTATGCACTGAAATTTTCACTCTAACTGGAGTCACTCACATAGAAACACAAATATAACAATGACGCCATGCCACCCCAACATCTGAATAGTCTTCTAACATCAACTTGTTTAAAAGCTTAAGACAGAAACATGAAAATCACCATATGAAAAAATCCAAATAAACTGCTTAAAAGTCTCCTTTGCAGTGAAAGGTTCAGTAACTAGTATGAAGGGAGTGGCATTACATGGAGTCAATTGTTCCCAGGTATTACGCAGACAGGAAGAAAGGGAATAATGAGTGCAATTCCCCACGCACAAAAAATCTGAGAGGCTCAGGCAAGCACTTCAACTGCAGTTATCTCTTTTCAGCATACTTCCTTTAACCTTGAGCAAAGTCAGCAACTGCTTTGATGGAGGCTTAGTATTTACTGTTGATTAAAACTTGATGGATAACTAGTTATGCTTCACCTTTTATTTTTATAAACAAGGCAATATTCAAATAGCAATTCCACAACTCAGATGAAAACACAGAAAAGATACACTCACTTAAATAATAATTTTTAATTTTTAATAATAATTAGAGTTAATTCGGAAGTTGATCATTCACTTTGTTAAAAATTCCCCTGTAAGATTTTACTGGAATAAACACCATTCTAAATTTTCATATAGAATCAGTTTTTAGAAATTAAATCTATACAAACTACTTGGAAGCACATTTCCAAATTATACTTTTCAAGTCTATTTTAACTACAATCAACTAGTTATTAAAATCTGTTCATATTTCAACAGGGGCATATTAATCTAGCCACTGCCATTTTCAAAGTAAAGCTTTATTGGCTTAACGACAGTTACCTGCCTATGGTCCACAAAGAACATCAAATGTATATAATTACATAGCTTTCAATGGAAATAAACAGAACATTAACAAAATCAAACACCAAAACTCTGGCACCGAAGAAACTTTAACATCTTTCAAAAGGAGGAAGGCTCTGTTTCAATCATGGTTTCTCCATTCCTAGCTGTGTGTGAACTGGAAAAGGCTGGAAGCAGTCACACACAACATAGGCATTCTATCATTTAAAACAACTTTTAAGACGGCTTTAGTGTTGATAGACAAAAACCTAGCAAACCATCATATTCTGCAGGGAGTTTCAGTATGTGTTCGGGCTTCCCCACTGCATTTTCTGGGGTCTCGGAAAGTCAATGCTATGACCAAATGGAAGCAATCTGAGAACGGGCATTAAGAAACTCCCATCACAGCCAAGCATGGTGACAAAAAGCCTGGTATCCCAGCATATGCAGAAGGCTGGAAGGTTATAGGGCTATGGCGGGAGGATAAGAAGTTAGTTCAAGGCCAGCCTAGGTGAAGTCATGCCTCAAAAATAAAACAAAATTTAAAAAAAGCAGAACTCTCATCCTAGTTGTCCCAGATAGGTAAAGATATTAAGGCTGTCACCAGCCAGGAAAAAGAAGTAGAGGAATTACAGCCTTGTTCAGCACAGAGCACTGTCTATTACCTCCAAACAGCCCCTAATAAGAGGGACAAAGAGTAGTATAAACCCAGAAAAAGTATCTGTTTACTCCTTTGCTTTGCTTTTTTTTTTAGTTCATAAGGCCACAGCATAAAACTAAATTACATTAACCTAAGTGAAACCCAGGCAGTTGGGTGGAGAACCTCAGTATACATTCTCTGTTAGTTTGCATTTCAGAAATATTACTTCCCTCATCCAGGTACAAGAATCTCTGTTTCCATCTAAAAGGTATATGAAGCAGTTCAACCATTCCACAAGCCCTCAGGGAACAAAAGCTAATAGTTTGACTCAGCATGTGACATCTCTGAGGAGCAAGCACGTTAGAAATATGCAGAGCCTCGAAAATCCTGCTCGGCTGAAGGACAAGCAACTGCTCCAACTTGTCTTTAACATGACGGGGGAGGAGAGCAGAATAATGGAGAGGGTGGTTGGGATTACAAATGGGGGATGAGACTCAGGCTCGCCCCTTTGCATGGGAGTTTGGGTTAGAGGCACAGATCTGGTTCAACTCTGCACTAAGAGGTTGGTTTATGGAAGCAGCATGGAGTTGCTCTGTCAGTAACCATAAATTCCAAATAATCTGACTTTGTCAGTTCCAGAAACCTCAACTATAGGACAGGATGAACACAGACAGCCAGAGAGCCAATACTGGCCCTGGGATAGTATTGCCTGAAGGAACTAGAGTAACTTCTTTTCTGTTTTTCATCACCTGGAGAGTGGGCATAAGACGAAAATACAAGGAAGAAATAGAAATCTGCTTCCAAGGTGAGCAGCCACCTCAAGGAGTTGTCTTCCACTCCAGGGGTGGGAAGAACAGCATCAAGCTTCCAAGTCATACTCTTCATTTGAAGGCAAATAATGTGAACTATGATGGCGCATGACTATAACTCCCTGCCTTGGGAAGCAAACACAAATACAATACCACCCTTACCCTGCTTTTCCAAAGCAAAACCAAATAAAAATCATTTCTTCTTTATGAAAGTACTCTGCTGTGAAAGCACATTAGCTTTGTATCCAGTTTCTATAAAAAATTTTTTCAGTATCCTGATGAACTTGCTTCCATGGCTATGCTATGTGAGTGCCTCCACAAACATGCACACAAACTACATGCAGATTTATGTAAGAAACTAGGAGCCTGTCTTTATGAGGGCTGGACTCTGTTCCAAGCTTTTCATGTCATATAAGGAGCTGACTGTCTTCTTGAAATGATTTCACACAGAAGCCGCATACTTCACTCAGAAAATTTTTTATTATTTGTCTCCTGCCCCACCCATTTTTAAGAACGAACTGACTCACTTCTTTGATGACAACATCGTGGGTGGGAATGAATACAGGAGTGGGCAGGGTAGGAGGAGAAGAGGAGGGGGAAGAGGAGGAGGAGGAAAGGAGGAAGGAGCCAAAAGCTGAATCACAGCCATGTGAGTAATCTTAGGGCTTTTTTCTTCTTCCTAAGGATATAAATCAAATTAAGCTTGTTTTGCTGTGGGTGAAGGAAAGAATATAATAATATCATGAATCAGAGCAATTATCAACTATGTGACACTCACTAAAAATTAACTACAATCACTGTTCTCACAAGCTGTCCAGAAGATGCAAGAGCATTTGCTAATCAATTCAATTCTTGACAAAAATCCCTCAAGTTAGAACTCGATGATAACCCTCTTCTCTAAAAAGCATTCCGCTTACACATACATTTCAGAGCCCACTGTGAGATAATCTTTGGCCCTTGGAGGTGAGTGAGAAAAACAAAAGGAGAATACTGGGTAGAGGCCAGGTTACACACTATATATCGAAGACAAAATAATTTATAAGAACAATTTCTCGGAAATTGACCTTAACACCTCAAAGCCATCAACTGGCAATGATGAGTGCATGAGTGGGGCAAACCCTCAGAAGAAAGTGGGCATCTCTGCCCTAATAGTTTGTAGTAAGAAGAAAGTTACTACATGAACCTTTCAGAGTGCCTTAGCCAGAAATACATGACTCCTCATGAATGGGTGGATTTACCGGAAATAATTAGAAAAAAATGGACTGAAGACAAATAAAAATCAAGCATTAACAATGTATGCAGGTGTATAACGTGGGTGGGGAGAGAACAGCTCCCAGGCACACCTCTAGTCAATCACCTGGACACAACGGCAGGAGGACTGCTGAGTTCAAAGTCAACACATACATACAGTGAGACTTGCTTAAAAGAAAGTGGCTAGCTTAAATTAAGTTTTTAAACAACCAAATTAATATTTTCTGGTCCTGGGTAAATGTAGATATTAAGAAGTCAAAAGTGTATTTCCCCCTTGGCAGTGTTGAGTCTGGAACCCAGGTGTTCTGGAATGCTAGGCAAGTGCTCTACCACTAAGTTCTTGCTGTTGGTTTTGCTAAAGCACCGAGCTAACAAGACAGTGCTTTCTACAAAGCCAGTTCTTTACAGAATGATCTACAGAGCTCAAAGAGGACAGTGCTTTTATCACATTGTTAGCTTTTCCAAAGTTCATTTCTATTTATAGGATAGTAATTTTGTACTAGCATCATTACGGGGTGGCTCTAATAAATTATTTCAATACAACTTTAAATATGCCAAGGCTTCCAAGCCTCTTAGGTTCTTTGTACTCCTCAACTTGGAAATGTTAATTAGGAGCAATGAATTCTTTGTGGATGATAATTTGTATACCCAAGTTTGTCTATCTGCAAATCATAACCAAGATATACTATCTATCAATGTGGGGTTTGTATAAAATGAGCCACATCTGTTCTCAGACTGGATGACTTAGCTATCTACACCCTCAGCCTTCAAGTACTCTGCCAAGTCCATATGATTTATTTTTCAGTCAGTATTCTCCAAATTCATAATCTCAAATTTCCTATGTAACAAAACCAATATTCAAGCCCAATTTTGCCACATCCTGTTCTGTGCCTACTAAAACTGGCTAAAAGCAATTTCGAATTCATATTTAATTCTCTCAGGGAAAAAAGGTTCTGTAGCTGAGGAGATCGTTCAATAGGAAAGTAGTTCACTTGCGAGTGAGGACAGGACCCATATTCATTCAGAACCCATGCTAAAAAGAAAGTCAAGTATCATTGTAAAAAAATCAGTAATCCCCGTGCTGGGTAAACCAGAGCAATTGGCTCCCTAGGTCTCAAGGTCTCACTCAATAACATGGTCTAATCTACTCAGAGAGCTCCAGGCCCTGCATCAGAAAAAAAAGTGGAGGAGAAGGAGAAATAAGGCTGTTCTCTGGCCTGCACATATGCACACACAGAAACATAAAACATACAGATGTTCTAAATCTAGGGGGAAACTGAGAAAAAACAGATCTCATCAATCCCCAAAGTAAAACTACCCTAAAGAATCACTCAGCAGTCTGTTTCGGGAGTTTCTGTTCCATAATATGCTAAAGATTTGGAGTGGGAGCAAGGCTGCCAAGCCTTTGTCAAGCTGTGGGAATCACAAGTTTCAGAGGCACCATAGATTTTAAGTGGAATGAATTTCAGACTGATTATAATCGGTCACTAACTATGGAATAAAAGGTGGGGGGATATAGTAGCAAAGACACCCTGGATTGCATGAATGTGGTCAAGGGCAGAGGATGCATATATGGGTGGTAGAGGCATGATCTTTGTTGGGAGGTGACAAAGCAAAGGAGTCAGCAAAAGCAGAAAGCAAGAAGTGGACATGGTGAGTTAGGAGGTCAGTATACAAACAACCCTCATAAAACAGACCACACACATCCTAGGAAACTGGCTTTCATAGATGGAAAACAATGCACTGTTGGAAAACAAGTGAAACAGTAAGAAAAATGGGGAAAGGGAAATTGCCTACTTCTGTCAAGCCACTTCCAGCATAATTCTTTACTACATTCTAAATCTTATCCTTATACCCATAGATAAGTGTTGCTACCACCCCTCCAAGAAGCCTCTCTTTATAGCAAACAGAAGCCATCACAGAAAAACCACAAATAGACACAATACAGAGATGAGAAGATCATAGAGAACCTAACCCC